CAGAGACTTGGAAACTTGAACTGTTAAAAATAAAAAAAAAAAGACTGAAAAAACCCCAAAGTTAAACAGACTTGTAAGTCAAAAATCTTTTTTTTCCTTTTCTTTATTATATTTTTATTGAAGTACAGTCAGTTTACAATGTTGGGTCAATTTCTGGTGTACAGCACAACACCTGGAACATATATACATTCATTCTCATACTCTTCTTCACCATAGGTTACTACAAGATATTGAATACACCAGAGGTTACTACTGTGCTATACAGTAGAAGCTTGCTGTTTATCTATTTTATATATATATTAGTATCTGCAAATCTCCATCTCTCAATTTATCCCTTCCCACCCACTTCCCTCCTGATAACCGTAAGTTTGTTTTCTATGTCTGTGAGACTGTTTGTTTTATAAATAAGTTCATCTGTCTTTTTTTGTTGTTTTTTTAGATTCCACATGTAAGTGATATCATGTAGTATTTTTCTTTCTCTTTCTGGCTTACTTCACTTAGAATGACATTTTCCAGGTCTATCCATGTTGCTGGGAATAGCACTGTTTTATTATTTTTTATAGCTGAGTAGTATTCCATTGTGTAACTATAGCACAGCTTCTTTATCCAGTCACCTGTCAATGGACATTTAGGTTGTTTCCATGTCTTAGCTATTGTAAACAGTGCTGCTATGAACATTGGGGTGCATGTCTTTTTCAATTAAGGTTCCCTCTGGATATGCCAGGAGTGGGATTACTGGGACATATGGTAAGTCTATTCCTAGTCTTTTGAGGAATCTCCATACTGTTTTCCGTAACAACTGCACTAAACTACATTCCCACCAGCAGTATGGGAGGGTTCCCTTTTCTCCACACCCTCTCCAGCATTTGTCATTTGTGGACTTCAAAAATCTTTCTCAAAGGTCACAAATTAGGCTTATACTTGTCTTCTAATGCAAATGCTTTTTAAAATTTCTTCAATTCTTAAACTTTTCTTTTTCACAGTACAGATAGATCTATGAGAATCATGGATTCCCTAGAGCACTTTGGAAAGCTTAAAATAAAAAAAAGATCCTCTCTTTATAGCTAAAAAGTAAAAACTACTGAATTTAAGGAAATAATTTTGTTACTGTACAATATTCTAAAATTTTATTGGCATCAAAAGGTTTTTCCCCTATTAAATCCATTTGAAACATGCTCTTTAGTTACGAGACTTTAATATGATTGATAAGCAAAGAAGGAAATGTGGCTGCCAAAGGAAAAAAGTAACTTCTATTTACCCTAAGAATATAAGAAAGCCCCAAACGAGAAAGTCTGCTCATCAAAGCCTCTTGGGCTAGAAGAAAAGTGGAAATAAGTTTCTCAACTTCAGGAGAAATTAAAACTAAACACGAAAAGGAGAAACACCCCCCCCCTTTTTTTTTAGTAATTAGCACCACTGTTTCCTCGTATGACTGTTTCCAAGTCATATAAGGAAAAAAATCCAATCTTTTACTTCTTTCTATAAATAGATCTTCAACTATAAAATCATTCTAACTCCCAAATCTCTCTCAAATAGTCCACAACTCTCCACACCAACTTTAGGACACTAAGTCCATGCCACTAACTCCTCTTGCCTAGATTTTTTTTAACAGCCTGCTAACTCATATCCTGGAGAGCACTCTTACCCCTTCTCCATATTTCAGGTGGGATGACAGTTCCAAAATGCAAATATGAGCAGCTCTGACCCTTGTTTATAAACTTCCCATGGTTTGCTGCTATCTTAGGATAAGCCCAAAGTCTCTAATAGGGCTCAAAAGGCTTGATATGGCCAGTCCCTTCTTCCTCTCCAGTCACCATGCTCGTCATTCACAAAATCATACGTTCAGCCAGTCAGTCCCCTGAGCTCTGTGCCTTGGCCTGTATCATTCTCCCCACCTGGAATACAACCTCTGGCCCATCAACTTTACCTGGCTAATACCTAACTCATGTTTCAGGTCTCAGCTTCAGCATCATTTCTTCTGGGAGCCTCTCCCTGACATATGGTGAGATGAGTGAGGTGAGGTGCCCTTCCTATGTGCTCCCCTTAACATTGTGTACTTCCTGTCATAGACTTTATCACAATATATGTAAATATCCCTTTCTGCCATCATATCACAAACTCCTGAGGATTTTGATGGTGTTTATTTTATCCAATGATGTCTACCTAGAATCTAGCAGAGTAAACACTCAAATGTTGAACGAATGATAAAACAGACACCAGAAGATAATAATCTAAGTCACCTGAACAAAAAGAATGACAAGCTGTACCTGCTAACATGACAAGAGACAAGTGCCAAGATTACACACATGAAGTGTATTAGACCAAAGGTACCTTTCTTTGGTGTTTTGTCAGTGTTAGTTTCTGGGGCTTCAACTTTCTTCCCTAGCCTCTGCGCAAGGCTACGCTTCAACGGAGGATCACTGTCACCACCTACAAAGGGAATGCAGTGTAAGCATTCAAGGCGATCTTCAGCAAGGTCAAGAAACACAAGCAAAAACAGACAACAGAGAGTAATTCTGTACGTTTTCTGCATTTATACGATGTGTTTGTTCACTAGCCTCCTTATAAAACTCAGTGTCAGAGAAGGAATAAAAACGTCTCAGAAAAAAAGAGGTAAGGAAGGAGACAAAAAGTAAGAATGCACAAATTAACATTTACCAAGTAACTAGAACTACAAATGGAAAATCATTAGCCCTAACTAAAGCTGAAATTCAGGACTAGAAATAAGTGAAAAAAAAATCTTCATGCACAAAAGTATCTTAATTGGCAACTGCTAAATTCTAGGTAGATTTGTGGTTAAATACAACTAGGATGACTAGGAAGACAGCAAAAGAACCACAAAATTTTAGATTTTCCCAGGACACGAAGACTCCAAAGTCCAAACAGTCCCTTTCTTCCATTCCAGATAAAAAATCTAAGGTTACGAAGGAGGCTGTATTTTACCCAAGTAAGCAATTAGTAACAGAGCCAAGACCTGAACAGGTTTCCTGACCCCTGTTTTATTACATTACACTATTCAATACAAGTTGTTTTTGTTTGTTTGTTTATTTTATTGAAGTATATAGTCAGTTACAATGTGCCAATTTCTGGTGTGCAGCACAATGTCCCAGTCATACATATACACACATATATTTGTTTTTCATATTCTTTGTCATTAAAGGTTATTACAAGATATCCAATATAGTTCCCTTGGCTATACAGAAGAAACTTTTTTTTAAACCTATTTTTATATACAGTAGCTAACATTTGCAAATCTCAAACTCCCAAATTTATCCCTTCCCCCTGGTAACTGTCAGATTGTTTACCATGTTTGTGAATCTGTTTCTGTAAGTTTTCAAAAACTGTTTTTCGGACAGCTTGACTGAAGATATAACCTTAGCAGGGTCCTATTAAAAATTCAAAAGACTCCTACACAGAGTATGCTTTTCTCTCTCCCCTTATTTACAATTTAAACATAAAACCTAAAATCACAAAGTTTACATGTACGCTGATATTAAAATAGATTATTTCCATTTTTTTTTACCTAAAATTTCTCAGGCAGTGAGAATGATATAAAAGAAAACACAAAACAGAAGATTTCATATTTGCAAGCACATTTTATTTTATTTTTAATTGTTTTTTAGGTGGGGGAGTTAATTAGGTTTGTTTGTTTGTTTATAATGGAGGTGCTGGGGACTGAAACTAGGGCCCTGTGCATGATAAGCATGTGCTCTACCACTTGAGCTATATTCTCTCCCACTGCAAGAACATTTTAAAAGAGTATCAAGGAGTCTCTGAAGTCAGATAAAATTTTCAAAATAATTCTTTCGAGACAGACACACTAAGTAGGTATACAACTCAGTTATATAAGAAAATACTTCTCTAAATATAAAATAGCACTAATAAATTCAAGGACTGAATTCATATTAACTGGATACTATTCCCCCTCTAAAAACTCAAATTTCAATTTTTCCAGAGATATTCTTTACTCTTCTTTAAACCTAGCACCTTCTAAAAAGTTAGCCATAATCTAATTAAATTAGATTTAATTTAAACACTATAAATTTGTAAACTTTATTAAGAGGTACAATGCACATATGAAAAACATGAAGAAATTTTATACATGCTTTCAGCCAGGAATACAAGGAGGTCAACATCACTACTGACAGAGCACTTGTATAAAAAGAATTTCGGAGGACACACGTCAGTGCACAAACAAGCAGAAAATAAGGGATGTGCACGAAGCTCATCTCACCTACTGAAAATTTTCGTTTCCCCAGTCTCTCGGTTAGACTCAATCTTACCAAAGGTTCTTCTCCTAAAATGGGAAAAAACAGAATTTCTCAACCATCAGCCATTTTTTTTGTATTCAGTAACTACTAATGGGTAAAAAGTATGCTCTGAAATTAACATGAATACATCCAGAAAGTCTCTCGGAAACTAGATCTCAGTCTTGAGGAAGACTACCCACTACAAGAGAGAAAAAAAGTCAACCTATTAAATAATAAACAGGAAATGCACAGCCCAAAGGGAAGCAATAACACAGTCCTAATTATTAATAGTAGCCGAGTATACAAAGGTAAGCTGTGTGCTGACCAATCGGTTGTAAGACCCAAGATACACTTCTGCTTGTGGACTTCCGTATGTTCAATGAAATCATACTCTACTCACTCCACCGCTAACTCTCCTGTGGAACCTTCCTTGGTCGGCCCGGAAAGCAGCGAGCTCTCCTTCCTCTGACTCTTTGTTGTTTGAATGGTACAAACATTTAAATATAACCTGCACACTACAGTTACTTGTGTCATAATCCTTACTAGATGTAAAACCATTAAGGGAAAGGACTTTTACATTTTTCTGTAACTTAAAAGGTTTACGACAGTTCCTAACCTACAATGGGCAGTCAATAAATTTGCTGAATGGATACAAATGAACAGTAAACGTAAAAGTTATACACGACACATCAGCGCGAGAGCTGCATCATTAAGAATTTCAACCTTTTAAATAGTAGAGTCAAATGCACTAGCTTTCCATCCTCCCATCCAATCAACATACTGGAGTCTACCTGCAAATCCGCCGAGGGTAAACTACACCGAAGGGTTTCGCTCTCCCAGATACTTAAAAGCAGTAGCCTGACAACTCTTCAGACCTACCAGTACCTCACCTTGTTTGCTGGACAGAGTTACTGTCCTCACCACAGTCCGGACGTTCTCTTTTTCAGGACCTGGAATGGGCTGTGGTTGGAGTAAAAGACTGGAAACTCCTGAAGAACCTTCTGAATAAAGCAAGCCAAAGAACAGTAAATAATTTACGGAAAATAAAGCTATCACAAGTCAAGAAATTTTGCTTCTGTGACCACGTAAGTCCAACACAGACCACTACAAGCGGATCAGTTTTTCTGTTCCTGTTTGCCTATAGTGAAATGCAGCAGTGGAAAGGGAGATAATCTAATTTCTCAGCTGCCTAGGGCACAATGTGAAAATAAAATATAAAACTGCTTTGAGGGACTTAGACACTCAATCTACTTTTATTTACCAATAAGGTTAACATGATTCTAAAGTTAACCTCAGAAGCACACCAACTATTAGAACAGGTCAACTGAATCTTTTCCATCCATATTCAATCTGCAAAACACAACTCCAAGGTTCCTACAGAACAAGCTTTAGCAAGAAGATACTTAGACCCAAACACGTGATTCTCTCTAAACACTACATTTCACACAACAGCTGCAATTTTTAGGGTTGGAATACAGATCAACCAGGCCAAGGCGAACACCAGGAGAAAGTCCGAGCAGCTCTCGAGGAAGAGTTCATCGACTACAAAAGAAACGCTATCAACTTTTTCCTCTTTTAGTAAGTTTACATGATGTTTTCTAAAGTTATATTTCTCAAAATAAACAAGTTCTTTCAGGTTCTTTATTGTACATGCCTAGCTCTGAATAGCTGCGGACTGAAACAAAGCTGCAATGGGTTAAAAAGGCAACCATGATTTAAATAAGACTGTGTTTTACCCCAAATAAGCCACAAAAATCAAAACCTACTGCTCATTTTGGTTGGTGCCAAGCATCCTTATTATCAGAAGTATCATTATTCTTCACTAGCAACATTCAACCCTCCACATGACTCACCACCTTGCTTCTTGGATTTTTCCTTCATTTTCTTTGATTTAATTTCCTCAAGAGTTTTTATTCCAAAATTCAAACATTCACCTAGGAATGCAAATAGAAACCACATGAGGAACTAGCACACTTTCACCTTTGCATTTTATTTATACACAGCTGGCATTCAAATGTTTTCTGAATGAGTAAGAGAAAATATGTGTAAGTATGTGTGTGTGCATAATGGGGGCAGGGAAGAGGGAGGTGGTGGTGATTATGAACTGAACTTCAAAAGTATATAGAACAGTCTGGACACATTCAGTAGTGCTGAATAAGATTCATGAGCAGGAACCAGCATCAGCATAGCCCCTTCTCACCTTGTTTTACACTGACCCCAGGTTTCCGGGCAGAAGCCATTCTCAATCCGTTATGAACTTCAGGAGATGGTTGCAGGGTAGGTGTTTTGGTTTCATCACCTTCCTCAGAAAACTGATCTATATTATCAACATTTAAGGCAAATTTCCAATTAAAGACAGACCTAGAGCTTCAAGTCTGACTGTAATTCACCAAGTAACCCCAGCTGAAACTCACCATCATCGTCTTCGTCATCATCTGCAGCGTTGATCACCACTGGTGGATGCGTAGGGCTGGGAACATTTTCTGAACTTTCTACTTTCATGACACTTCGCAGCTGAGGGGAGGGATTAGACTGGACAGACAGTTTGTTCTGCTGAACTGTGAGCTGGCTAGCCTTCACTTCCTCTTCCGGTGACTCAGGCACAGTAGGCAACACAGCTAGAGGTAAAAAGTTAGTCATAAATTAAACAGAAAATGCAGTCCCAATTCATCAGAAATACCCAATCACCTATGGTAAGTTTGGTGCATTTTTCTTTACAAGCATTATGTCTTTTTAATTTATGTCTTTTAATTAAAAATTTAATTTAATTTTTAATTTTTCCACTTTCCCAATTAGGTTCTAAACTCCCAGGGAGGGAAAATGTGGCTTTCAGCTAATAACTATTCCCTGCACGTAAACTCCAAAGTGAGCACTCAAAACAGAAAATAAATGGGAAGCCAGATGTATAGTAACTGCAAATTCTAGACATTTAATTTTAATATTGAAATTCTAGGCTTTTTGCTTGACAAGAAGAAACTTTTTTAAGAGATAGTAGGTCATACTTTTGAACCAAACCACAAAGGAGTGAGCCTACTTTTTCCCTTAACATAGAGACAAAAATATGTAGTCCTTGAATTTTAATCATATAGCAGATGTGGCTTTTCAATGGCTGATCATTCCACTAGGAAATTACTTTAAAGGGGACTTGAGAAATAAATACTAGTTTTTGGTGAAGTGTAAGCTTTGTTTTAGCTCACACCCTGCAGCAGGGCTAGCACACACTTTCCTGTAAGGGCTGTGCAGTAAATATTGCAGGTCTCATAGATCTCTGTCTCAACTGCCCGAGTCTACAGCAGCAGCACAAAATCTGGCCATAGAAAACATGTAAATGAATGGGCATGGCTTTGTTGCAATAAACTTTATTTTACAAAATAGGAGGAGGACCAGATTTGCCAGCTCCTGGCCTAGAGAATCAAGTTTCTTTTGAAAATCCCTACAGGTCTGATAAGAAAATGAGAAATGAGGAAGCTATACAGTAAAGCTACAGTAATCTCAACAGTCATGCCAAGAAACGTTCATGCAGCAACGCGGCTTCTGGCAACCCAGCTTTAGTTATGACCCTGCTGCTTACTGGCTTGTAACTGTGTACGAGTCATTTCACCTCAGTAAAGTTCAGTTCCCTCATCTGCTCTCTCACTAGAAGAAGGCAACGTTTACACTGCATACAGTGAGCACAGAAGGTGTTCGTTATATCGTAAGTATTCTTTTAAAATTAAAAATTAAGCTCACTTTTGCTTGGAGGTAGGAAAAGGCCGTCAACATAGCGTCCTCTGTTGTGATGGAAAGCGCAGTTTAGTTTCTGACATCCCATTGGCTGATTTTCCCAGTAACAAGGAATCTCACTGCGTTTTTTCTGTTAAAAAAAACACACACACACACATTGTTTTCAAATAAAAAATACAATGTGACCTGTATTAACTTGGTCGTGTTTTCTGGACAAAGTTTATACAGGATTAAAAAATCTGAGGCACGTGAGAGGATTCTGAGTAGGGGGAAGAGGAGTTGCTGAAGCTGATGCACTCCAGCAGAACAGAGACGAAGGGAGCAGAGAAGGAGTCTGCTACTCTTTCCTTCTTGCCTTCATCCTGGAACCCCCAAATGTCTACACTTAATTTAAAAAAGCAGGATTATATAGTAGTTAAGGTTACGGAATCAAAGATAACAAGGTTTGAATCTCTATTATGCCACTTATTGGCCATGTGATGTTAGACAAATAATTTAATGCTTCTAGGTCTCACTTTCGTCAGTTATAAAATGGGAGTAATAGTAGCTATCTAACTAGTTTCTTACGAGAATTAAATGAAATAATGTACATGAAGCACTTAGCTCACAGAAAAGAATCAATAAACTGCAGTTATTTGAAGCTGAGAGTTCAAGAAAATTTCTTCCTATTCATGACCTCTCAAAAGCTCACGTAACACACTGAAGGTGGTATCCTTCCTTCCCAAGTGACCCTGCTCTTACAAATGGGAGTGAGAAACCCACCCTGCACTTCTGGATCACAGGATACATGTCCGAGAGAAATATATACATTAGTTCTAGCATACATATTAGATGGCTATAAAGAATACTCAAAGCAATACTATTTACAACAGTTCCAAAATGGAAACAACCCACACACCAACACTATAATGAATGAATCAATTTTAGTATATCCGTACAATACAATGCTTTCCAGTAATGACAGGGAATAAATTTAACCCCAGAGAGGCAGAATGAAAGAACAAGACACAAGAGTGCATACTGTATGATTCCATTTGTATAAAGATCAAAACAGGCAACACTCCCCTATGGTAGCGTAGTCTGGATGGTGGTTCGTTTTGGGGGTGTGGTTAGTGACAGTGAAGGGATAGAGAGGGAAGAGAGACTGTTGGAAATATTCTATTTCTTGATCTGGGTGCTGGTCTAGTTAGTATATTCACTCTGTGAAAATCCTTCAAGTTGTAAGATTATGGTTTGTGCACCCTTCTGTATATAATTTAACCAACAGTTCGATAATGAAAGAAAAAGAGACCTGATAAGTACTTCTGTTCAGTAACTAAAACTGGGAGGGTACAGATCAAGTGGTAGAGTGTGTGCTTAGCATGCACAAGGTCCTGGGTTCAATCCCCAGTACCTCCTTAAAAAAAAACAAAACACCAATTATGTGCCCTCCCCCACCACCAAAAAAAACCCTAAAAAAAAATAAAAATAGTAAAAAGTACAGCAAACACCTCTGCCTCTCAAAGAACTGGTTAGAATTTATTAGTCTCTTGTCACAGTCAAAAGGTAGGTAGAATAGCTACCGTAGTTTTTTAGAATAACAATTATTCAATTACTCCTTCCTTAAGGCAGAACCTAATACCAGTTTTCCTTGCTCCTGGGTCTGTCTTCACTTAAGTTTTTACTTCTTTCCTGCAAGTACTGGATGCCATCTATAATAGCATCTTCTATACAGGAGCCACATGAAATTTATTTGATCTGTTTAATACTCTTACTGGATTTTGTTTCTAAAAAGTAATACACAAGCAATGAAAATGACTTGAAAAATAAAAATTAATGCCCGCTACGCTATTACCCAATGAGAATCACTTATTTTGCTATAGAATTCTTTCACTTAAAAAAAAAACCTGCAAATGTACTGAAGCACACTTAAAAGTGTTCCATATAATGCTGTGTATTTTCACTTAGCAACACATCCTCCATAGTAACATTCTCCTGCATGATTCTTTAACTTTTAGTAGGTAATACAGCACATGGTTCAAAGATACACAGTTACTGCTCATCATGTGCAGTAGATATGTACTATTAAGCCACCATAAATACTGAATTAGTAAATACTGAACCACACTGCTCCTAAGGGAAAGAGAGTTGGGTTCCTGCAAGCATCTGGTCACATTTTCATCAACTGATCAATACATCATCTTGTTTTATGTGTATTTGTGTTTAAAGACATCTTATTTAATATGTATCATTGACTCATTAACACTGAATTCAAGGTCAATGGCACTATAACTCACACCTGAATGAGGCTACTTAATACTCGTATTTTCTCCATAAGACACATAAGAGCTTTCCTGGACTTAGGAACACTGGATACGGCACTTCAGCACTACAGCCGGGACCATTTTAAATGGCAAAAACAACACAAAGCACCAAAATGCAAACAAGCATGGCACTAAACAGACCACGAAGAGGACATGTGAATTGATCTAGGGGCTATAAATAAATTTTAGCAAAGAGGCAAATCTGCACATACGGAACCCATGAATGATGAGAACTGATGCCTATAGAAGGGGTATATGGTTAAAAGGCTCCTTCCCATTCCTGTCTCCACTCTAGAGGCCACTGCTGTTAAGCTTTTTCCTTTATACTTTCAGAGATTCTGAAAGTGCATATGTAAGCGAAAAGCAAATATAAATTCTTTTCCTTCTCTCTTTTAACACAAATGGTAGCACACCTTATTCTGCCTTTTGCTTTTTCAGTGACAATATATCCTGATCTATTCATATAAATAAATAATGTCCCTTTAAAATTTTTTCTAACAGCTGTCCAGCACTCCACTGTATGAATGTAATAAAATTTATTTCAAATGAAGGTTAGGTTGTTTCACACATTTTAACAATTACAAATTATGTTATAATGAGTAATTCTGCATAAATCTCATTTTGCAAGTATAAGAATGTAGTATTTTTGAAAGATGCAGCCAAATAAACCTCTGTGCCCCCAGAGCTTCGGAGCAGCCCTCAGCCTGCTGTCCTTGGGAAGCTGCTGGCACAGCTGCCCGTGCCTGGCACGGAGGGACCTGGCTCTCAGAATGTTCCTACTTAGTTAACTGATCACTGTGCAAACAATATGGCTTATGCCGAACACCCGCCCTCCTCCCCAGAGACTGGAGTTTTGTCATGTGTTAGGTAGAGCGTGCCCACATGACAGGCCTCAGTAAAACACTTCCATACCTAATCGGCTTCTCGGGGTAAAAACCACCCAACACGCTGCTGCGTTTTCACAGCTGGGGGAAGCGTGTGCTCTTCATGACTCTTCACAGGAGGGAGAGATCATAAAAGGAACCCACACATGGATTCCTCCACACGCTGCCTGTGCCCTTCTCTTTTATGACCAGTGTATCCTTCCTACAGCACGGTAATAAATCTCAGCCATGAACAAGCATACGCCCAGTGCCAAGAGCCCTTCCAGAGCTCTCCAAATGCGGGTGCTCTCAGAGACCATGCACCTTCCCTAGGAGCCGTGCCAATTTACACTCTGCTCGCAACGTGACATGAGTTTTCAAAAGCTGTAGACTCTTTCTGTTTCTGAATTTATTTGGCGACTTCCCTGTTACTTGGAAGACACTGTAGAATGCAGCTTAGAGACCACCAATCTGGAGCCAGAACGATGTAGCTGTGTAACCCTAGACATACAGATATTTAGTCTTTCTTCTTTCCCTACCCCTTCTCAAACAATTTAGTCCAAAGTGATTAGGTGAGGCTGAGAGGAAGGCATTCATGCTGGGAGAAGGAATGGCAAGTGGCCAGCAGCAGGGTTTCAGAGCCTGACTGACGTGAGGAAGGTGTCCATGTGTCAAGGCGGAACCAGCACAGAGTGTCAGGGTTAGTAAGGTAATTGCAAAGGAGGATGGCCTGGCGGTGTGCTAGAGCCTGAGAAGGGTGGGCAAGGCTTCTGCGCAGAGTGGATCCCAACGTAGGGTGAGGAGGGTGTACTCATGGAGGGTCAGCCAAGAATGGGCATCAAAGCCCAAGTAGGGGTGAGGAAGGCAGGGTCTTCCTGAGTGGAGGCCTGGCGCAGAGCTGGAGAATGAGCAGGGTGAGGAAAGCAACCACCCCACGTGGGAGGGCTGCCCAACACAGAGTATCAAAGCCCAAGAATATGAAAAAGGCATCCAGAGCAGGGGATCAGGGTCTGGAGTAGGATGCTGGGGTACAAGCAGGGCGAGGAAGGAGTTCTCACAGTGAAACAGGGGAGAAGCCCTGCCTGGTACAGGATGTCAGAATCGCAACAAGGTGAGAAAGACACCCTATGGAGGAGCAGCCTTGTGTGACATCAGAGCCTGCGAGGGAGATGCCATGATGCAATACTGGTTTACATAATTAGGGGACTCATCAAATAAGATTAAGGACAGTAAGGATCAAGTTATGGAGAAGAGAGTTGTAAGCATGGAAAAGCAGAAGCCCAGACAAAACCCTGCAGTGCTGGGGAACTGGAGGCGTCAACATGAACTCATGACTTTCAATATATAAACATGAAGTAATAAATAATGATGTCAATGTGTGTCTGTATATACATGTATATATTCTACTGTTCTGTCCACTGCAGGCCTGGGAGCAGTGATACTCCCA